AGAACTGATCATATGTCTGAATTAACATCTTAAATGATCCTCTCCAGAAATGGACCTTTCTTTTAAAACCTGAGGAAATGGTGTGACACAACCTATTTGAGTTGTCCTGCGGTTTTAACAGGCACTAGGGGGATTTGGGTGCACGGTGGATGTTGACCTTTATGTAATGTTTGACTCGGGCGCCGTTGTCACAGTGCTGCTTCCTCTCCAGCAGGACGGCGCCACTGGGACTTTCTGTCATCTCAGCCCTGCTGGCAAGAGTAATGAAAGCAGGAAGTTATCCAGCTCAAATTAGTGATAGTTTAAACACCGAGGTCAGCCTAAACAGTCCGTTCCACACTTCTTGAATATATCAGCAAATGTGTGACAAGGCATTAGAATCCTGTCAGCAAGGTAAAGTGGAAACTTCAGGTTTGATCTTGTTTGAGAAATGCTTGTTTTTGTTTTTTCTTATTTTGGTAATATGCATTAACATTTTAGTGAGAACAGCATCTTTTATTAATGCGAAAAGGAAGCGCGCTTGTATTAAACTAGGTATTTTGGAATGGACCTTGTACTTTCCAGTCAAGCTTTCCTAGAGCTGGCGAATCAATACCTTTGATTCAACCTTATTATATCTTACAATTCTGACTTTTTTTCTCAGAATTGCAAGAAAAACAGTTGTGAGATAAAAGTCACAATTTTTTATTTTATTTTTACTTTTTATCCCGTGGCAGGAAACAAGCTTACATAGTGATGCAATTCAGAAGACTTGAGGAAGCTATTAATTCTCCACATGACCCCCCACTCAATATTTAGATATCCCAGGAATTCATTAATTTTGCATCACATATTCTTGTAGCTTATTCAGAAGGCCTGCTGTTATTTATTTACCCCTTCGAGGTCAACTAAATGGTTAACTGTATTTCATTGGAAGGGTTTTTATTTTTAAAATGTAATGCCAAACCACACAGAAGGAAAGACAGATTTTTGCTCTGAAGTAATTTGGCAAGAGAGAAAGATGTTTTGGTCTGCATTTCTTCTCCGTTCCTCACTCCAGAACAGGGAGAGTTGAAAGCTGTCACCAGGATGGGCCAGGGCTCACATGTGTTTTGCTCTGAGCCATATAAACCCAAACCCCAATCCACTTCTCCATTGCCCCATTTATAAATAAGACTTTTAACAGTGAATATTTTAAATAGTTCAGCTGTTGAGGGAATAGATGTGACTTGTTGTGCTGGGGGAAGCTGGCGTTGTTTATTCGGCGATGATGAAGACCGATGTCACATCAGCCACCAGACTTGTGCACGCTGCTGGTTTGTTTAAGAGATAGAAATTAAAATACATAATGAAATACATAATAAAATACATTCATCTAAGTCTGAGACATCCAAACAGCCAGTTAACGTCCCCCAAATGTCTATTGCATAATAATTGGCATCCTTTGATCTTGTAGAGACAACCTGTAATTACAGACACAGTGAAAGTACCGCAAAATATATGGCTGTAACTGGGGAGTCGCTCTCTTTACTTTCAGCAAGTTTGCATGAGGTCAATATTTTTAAAAAGGACTAGCCAATATATAATTTTTAGATCAAGCTAAATATACTTAAAATATAACTAAAGCATTTGTTTATTATTTTAACTTGAGGGAATACAATTAATACTTCTTGATACTGCCATTCAATTACAACACACTCAGATTTTTAAGTCACACCAGCAAGCATCAGGAGAGTTGAATTACTTCAAGTTCCAATAGGCCTACACACACACACACACACAAGTGGTTGTCATTTGCCTTATTCCCAGAATGCATTTGTCATTCATTTGTTTTGTTGTCACGTTCAGTGACGTCTTGTCAGTGTTGCAAAGTAATTATTTCGATTTCTTTTGTAAATTAATTTTTTTAAGTGTCTGTACATTTTAAATTCCTCTAATCATATATTGTACAGATATTGACTCCTAGCAAAGTAACAGTTACTGTACTTGTTTTTCACGTATTTCCAAAATAATACTTTAAAAATAATTTGAAACGAATTATGCTCATTCATACATACATCTCTGAGACAGTAGTAAGGGTGCACGCCCCCTAACGAATGGGAAGCTAAAAATTTTTTTTTTTTTTTTTAATGTTTTGAGCTCATTGAATGGAATAGAATTCTTAGAGTGAAACATTCTTAACACTTCTATAGGCTCGACATTGAAGTAAAATTTAAAACTTGGATGCACGAGTCTGTCATCTCAGGTAACACGAAGTGGTAGATTTTAAATCGTGGCAACTTGACATTTACTTAAAACATTTAAGCACATTAATTAAACGAAGCAAACTTTTGTTTTCATATATTTTTTAAAGCTCTAGGAACACTTTTGCAAAAAAAAAAAGTGCAGCAGCCAAGTAAAATCACACAAGAGAATTTCCCCATACCTTTAAAATGCCAATCAGTCCATCAGAAAGGCCAAAGTGCTGTGTTTTTTTGTCACAAAGATGATTGTATGTTCCTCTGTGGCTGAAACCAGCAGGTGGATTGTGATCTGTAAACTCTGCACGTCAGAAACACATTTCATTCAACTCCATTCAGCGTCAGAGTATGTCAGCACACAATGCCGTCTTAACATTCCTTTCTGCCGCACACTGTACACAGCTGGACTGTATTTTACAAAAGAGAAGTAACTTTTCGTTTTGTGCAAACCCCAATCCAAGTGCTCACATTAATAAACTGACTGTGGCCACATGTTCTCAGCACCTTAGCCAATAGCCAGAGTGCTGACATGGAAGAGGGTAGATTTGATATGGAGAAAAGGAAAACGACAAGAAGGGAAACGGGTCAAGAAACAAAAAAGGTCACAGGAAGTAAATAGACGCACGCATGCTAAAACTTACTCCAAACATCTCCACCTTATCATACATAAATTCCACACACATGCTTGTTCAGACTTTCCCCCCCATGCTCACTTTGACTGTCTCCTCTGTAATAGGCTCCAGATGTGGTGCTGAGGGGGTGAGGTGTTTGTATGTCATCTGCTTGGGCGGCTACGCGTACACCCATCTGAGGGGGATGCTGTCAGCCCTGATTGAGGGGTCCGGGCCCCAGGCCTAAGGTGATGGGGCTGGGGGTGGGGCGAACGGGTCACAGCCTAAGCACATCTGGAAGCACTTCAGGTCAGCAGGACCCGGCTGCCTGAAAGGTGAGACGCTTCGACCTGACCTGAGCAGCACAGCATGGAGAACATGTAACAGTCTGGATGGAGAAAAAGGTACTAGCATGCACACACACACACACACACACATACACATACACATACACATACACACATATATACACATGAGTCATGTAACTAATCAACGCCCGTGGGTGTAAACACAGGCCTCAGAAAGCATTTTCAATAGGTTGGGCTGAGAATAATGATGGGAAATAATTACAATTTCATCCCCTGTCTTTGATTTAGTGAATATCCCAGAATTTCTAGCACTTCTAACTTACAGTCTTAAGCTTTGTGAAAGTGGGTTTGACTATAGTGAATAGCAGCTGAAAGTTTCAATATGTGACATCGGCAGGTTATCAATAAATAATGATATGTGACCCTGGACCACAAAACCAGTCTTAAGTGTCAATTTTTCAAAATTGAGATTTATTCATCACCTGAAAGCTGTATAAATAAGCTTCCATT